TTTAACCTCAACTTGGACACAAGTTCCCCCCCCCCCCCCCCCTCTCCCCCGATCATCCAATATTTGGGCTATTAAACTAGGATATTTATTGTTGATTTAGATGAATTATAGCTTAATTATGAGTTATTTTGTTTGTTAGGTAAAACTCAAGCAAATTGGGTGAATTGGATGAAAGGAGTGAAAACGTGCAAAAATGGAGGGAATCTAAAGTTCGGGGATCAATGTGAAAATATTCAATAGTTGATTCGGTCCATGAAATAATAATTAAAGATCATATTGGATCAATTGAATGCAATTAAAAGTTAACAAAAGTGAAATATAGTCAAAATATTATCTCAAATAAATTTCTAATTGAAAAAATTATGTTCTAGATTTTCAACTTCAGATTGAGACCAATTTTTCATATAGCAAACGTTCGGATTGGAAAATTGATATTTCTAGAAGAACCGTAACATTTTAAGTTAGTTTTCCAATTCATTTTGAATCATCTCAATCGAACATTGGAAGAAAAAAGCTATGATAAAAATACCAGAAACTATATAGGTTTCGAAAGAATCAGGTGGCGAGCGCCACCCAAGCCGGTGCGCATGCGTCGGCCACTTAAAAATCACCCTAGAGCAATTTGCAATTTTCATCAATGGCGCTCATGCATCGAAATAAACGGTGCCTGGGCATCGTGTAATTTTTATTAGATGAGCTAGATTCTCCTTTTTGGATCAGAACTCCTTCAAAACCCAAATTGGACAAGATTGTAACCTAATTTTCATTTTCTATAAATACAGATTTTGGGCAAAACATTGGAAACTCTTTGTAGCCTCTTAATACACATTCAGATCATAAGACTCATTGAGAACAAGAGGCAAACTTACATCTTTTGGGAGAAAAGATCAATCCCTAGAAAAAATTGAATGCCAATTACATCAAGAATTTGAAGAGTTCAACCTTGGAATTGAAGATCAAGATCTGTTGCATTCTTTCATGATCCGATTGATGATTTTCTACTCTTCTTCTTGTAATTTATTTAAAAGCATGCTAGGTTAGATCCTAATTGTATTAGATGAAAATGAACTTTATTGTTTACTTATTTTAATTCAAGACGAGTAGTTCAGTATTTCTTGATTAATTTTGTATTTTCATTGCATTATTTAATTGCTTTATAATTAATTAGATAATTAGTTGCTTGTTGCAGTGTTGAGAGTCTCACAATAAGTTTAGAACGCGGCAATATTAACACAATCAATAGATGTTAGAAATGGCAATATCCCGTGTGCAATCATATAGATAGTCTAAAATTTAATGCATTCTAATCATTTGAATTTGTACTAGGAATAGACTTGGGCCATGATTAGAATAAAATTAATTTATCCTCAAAACAAAAGTTAAACACCTTAGCTTTATTTATTGTCAAGAACGTATGAATGAAACTAACTTACATAATTAAGAATTGAAATAGATAGCAATAGAGGGCTCTAAATTCAATACAATCATTCATAATTTGATACAAACACACTTTTACATATATAATTTAGCATACTCACAATCAAATTTATTTTGTTTTACATACTTCGAATTCAATACAAAGCTAGTAAACTTGAATTAGAATTTATTCCATGTAGGATGATACTCTCAACTTATCAAATTTAAAATTTGTCAACGATTCCGTATATCCACCTTGAAAGTAATACTAACATTTGAAGGTCTAGTTGTCGTAGAGCCTATTCTAACCCATGCAGACACTTGATATATCAAATAAAGTTTTAGTTGATCTATTATCAACTGAGTTGCACCTAGGAGTAGCAATTTGGCTCGGGCGGCTCGTGGCTTTATCAAGCAGAGGCTCTGGTCAAGCCCCATTTGAGGAGTCGACTCGAGCTC